AACGTTAAATTGTTTGTAGTGCAATATTTTAAGGCCGGATTTTATAAAATATATCCTATAAACTAAGGATAGTTTTGTTACAAAAACGTGAACGTTCTATATAGGGTGTTTTAATAATAATTAAAACTTTAAATACGTATACATTTGATAACTAAAGTTACACTCCCAAGAGATTTAAAAACTAATTTCATTCAAAATGCAGAACAACCCTTTATATAAAACAAAATTATATTGTTACATCAAGAACCATAAGTCTATGTCAACCTCAAATTTACATAGGCAAAAAAAATAATTTCTTATCAAAAACTTTGATCATACCTACTTATTATATAGTGACTCTATTTAATGGAAAATACACAATGAAGAGTATTTAAGAACAAATATTTATTTTTTTCTAAACCAAAAAAATTAATTGTTTTCATTTTTTATATTTTAAGTAAACTAAGTTGTATTTTTAAAATCATTAGTTGGGCATTATTTTAAATAAAAACTACTAGTTTTTTAGACTTTAATTTAAGTTGTCTACACACTTTTGCCGACTACTTGGTACCTTCACATTAAATCAAACAATAAGTACCTAATAACACAGCTTTTACTTCAACACGATATAATGTAACTTTATAAATAATAAAAATTACCCTTATAAGTTTAACTATAAGTATGACTTATAGAGAAAAATAAATTGTATAATATATATTATATATCATATAACTTGTTATGATGCAATAAATAAATAATTTTCTTATTTTTATTGAAAAATAGCCAAACACGTGTAACAAATAGTGTATTCGTTTAATCATATACCATTTTATATAGATCTTGCAATTTTTTTACGTAGAGGAAACATCTAAATATACATGTTATATAAATATTTATTATTCCAAACGGTAGATTATCTCGTTTATTATTTTTAAAATCGAATAAAAATGTATTCTTTAAATTACTAAAAACAGAGAAATTATAAACGTAAATGCCAAAAACACTCAACAGAATGAATAGGTTCTCTTGATTAATGGAAATATGATTTTCCTCTTCTTATCTCATAAATTGGATACACGATATATTTTTTCCTGTTGTCTCTAGAAGGAGGTGGTTATTGCTGTCATAAATATTTCATCCTTTTCGTCTTTACCGGTCGTTAACACCACAAAAGCAGACAAAAGCCACTGATAAAATTGATGACTTTTATTATACCTAATATATATATATATATATAATACACGTGCATACACATATATACAGTGCGAATAAACCAAAAACTTGGCAATCATCCACCGGATGTACTAGTAAAGATTTATACAGCACATATTTTGGGGCGCTTCTTTTGCCCGACTTTCCTAGACGTTTATCTTTGTGTAGGTGATAATTATTTTCAAGAATACATTTCAGCATTATTATAGTTATACGCAGTCTTTTGCAGACATGTAGGTCATCGTTAATTCATTGTATATTTTAAAATATACATAATACTAAAGTTTTCCTTCAAAATTAAAAATAATGATTTTTCATTATACTTAAGTATTATTTTATAATATAACTAATACCTAATAAATAATAATTTTGATTTAATAAGAATATAATTAATAAACTATCATTTATTATCCTAAATTAAATTAAAATATGATTATGGTACCGAATATAAATTATAGTTTAAAAGTTTGATAATTATAAAGCATAAATATTAAATAAATACTTAATGTCATTCAATCATATTTTATTAATTATAATTAGCATTTGTATATTATTTTTAAAAACTAAGTATAATAATTTTTGTAATATATTACGTCTTTCAAACTTACTAATTTCCAATGAACAAAAATTGTTTTTTTTGGCCTGAAAAAAAAATTATAAATTTATTTATGTTATGATTTTTTTCTTTAATTTAAAAATAATCAATGAAAAATTAAAGCTAAGAGTGCTAAGATTTATACAAACGGAAAATAAAAAAACAAAAAATTGAAATTACTGATACTAAATTGTATTTGCAGATAAACCCCTCAATGACACAAAGCAACGTTTTAACTTTAACTGATAACAGTATTGTACTTAGTATTACAATTTAAGATAATTTTCTTTTATGTTGAGCATAAACAATATGACCAATTAGGTCATAATATAAAGTTTTATTTGAAATTATCTGGTAAATTGTATACACATTGGTATAATATAATATAAGAAAACCTTATTAAAAATGGAACGGATTATTAGAAAGTCACAAAAGTACAATAATTACTTTGTTTTGTGATTCGATTTTACAGCGCAAAACCATATATTGATGTATGAGACGCAATGAGATTTTAGCAAAAAGAACTCGTAAACACGTACTCCTAAAATTCGAATAAAAGTTACAGTGTGCTCATATGATGGAAAAAGAAAAACACAACAGAATAGATAAAAATCAAGTATAATGAACCATGATTTCTGGTTGTATAACAATTTTTAAGGGTCTACGTGACTCAGAGATTTCAAAAGCTGTAGGTATTATATTACTATATATATTTTATAAAACATCTTAAACGTAGAGTACGTGTACAAGACTCTTAAGGCTTTAAGCATATATATGCCTTCACATTTACATTCATCTACTCAACAACAAGATTTTTGAATATTAAAGCTCTGACATAGCTAAGCATCGCGTATTAATTCTTTCACAGCAACTGTTATAGATTAGAATGGTTAAGTCTATTATTTAAAAGCCGGTGCTATACTGACTTTTACAACGTAATAATTTTATTACAGTATGTCATTCATCTATTATAAAATGATAAGTGCTATTCAATTTTAAAATATTCTTATGACTGTTATACATTATTTTACCGGTTATATATTAATTGGTATTTCTATTTAAGTAATAAAAGTTACACGCATATAGGACATTATAGTATTATACTATAATATTATTATGTTGTAATAATGTTATAATCTTATAATGTTGTACGCGAAATGCTGTACTGATGATATTCATGTAATCTCATTTTGATGTTTTGACCTATCTAGATATGCTCATTTATTGTTATCATGTAATGATAGATATCATTACTTATTAGTTATTATTTATTAATTATTAATTTTTAAAAATATCATAAAATAACATAATAGTACTTAGTACTGTATTAAATTGCTAATTATAAAAAAATAACAAATTCTTGATTAAATAATAAATATAAAATAAAAACTGTCATGACAATTATGGACGTTCACAATGTACGTAATTAATTAAAAATTCAACCATCGATTTGACTATAGAATTGTTGTTTTTCAATTATTACTATCTATAAACACAACTCTAAAACAAACAAATAAATAACGTTTGAAAATAACCCCCTTTATGTTTAACAACTTTCCTTATTACCTTACACCATACGTAACATACTTCTCTAGTTATCTAACATAACAAAGAACAAAGACGCTAATAAATAATTAATAATACACATTTACTGGGCAGTGACCACTAATTTATAATTTCTGTGATCAAAGTGTCGTGTTCACGTATAGAGTTTACAAACAAACCGGATGGAATACGGGACCGCATTGTGAAACGTGACTGTTCGAAACATAAAGGGTAAAACAGAAAGGGTTTTTAGTACTTACATCACGTTCGAAAAATAAATGGTTTTTCTCTATTTTTCAATCCCTCTTTATGAAAGACCAATCAAAACATATATTGTTATGACAAAATCTTGTAAGCTTGTTTTGGTTTTCAATTTTTTGTCAAATACGCAGTCGATCGAAATATGATAATAATAAAATATATTTTATCTATATCTGTATGTGTTCTGTATGTGTGTATATGTATTATTGAATGTGTAACAATAAACATAAGCCATACAGTATTAAATGCATTACAACAATACAACACACAATACATAATGCATTGCAAAATGGGTTATAACTTAAATCTTATTTTACTTGATAAAATAAAAGCATCTATACATGTACAAATCGTGAACGACTTATTATTTTTGGTCGATAATCTTTGGTAAATGTTTTAACAACGATTTGCATTGTAATATATAATATTGAATTTTGAATAATTTAGTCTGGAAAATTCGTTTTCCATATTAAAATATTTGGTATGAATTTAAAATGCGAACGATTATTATATTTAGTTATTTATTTAATGTTTATTTTAACATTGAATTTATTTTTAGCATGAGCTATTTCCCTAAAGAGTATTTAACCTCATGTCGTATATTTCCGAAAATGTCACTCGCAGTTGTTTATTATTTCAAACTTTTTAAAAGGGGCGTATGTTGCTGGACCATATAACTTTTTATGATTTTTATTCAATTTTAGTTAAATGTATTATGTCCAACCAAACATAATTTAATAAAAATATATTCTATGTATTTGACTGTTAACTAATGACTGATTAATAATATTTTACGTAGTAAAAATATTTATGTTATTTTACATATTGTTTACATTCCATAATAAAATAAATAAATAAATATATGATTTTTTATAAATTTGTTTAGTTCTGTAAACATTCTATAAAGTCAATACATAAAATATTAAAGCATTCATTTAAACATTTAGTGAAAAATAAATCTGCATATTCGTAACATGCATGAACACTATAAACCATATCATAAATATAATTAATGTCACTAAAATATTGCGTAGTGAACAAAAAATAAGCTGAATATATATATATATATATTTAAATTGTATTTTAATGTATCTTAAATGTTAATTTTTTTACATACATATTAAATATTATTTGTCTATAACCTATAAATCATAAAATTAATATTAATATTAATAAATAATCTGAAATTAATGGTAACTACAACTTCTCGTACGGTATTCGAGCAACTTACATTTACAAAATCGACCTAAAAACATATTTTGATTATCAAACATGAAATAATTTTTATCGCGCTTAATAATATTAGTATTGTTGTTTAATTTAAAATATACTTATGCTGTTTTTTCAAACACACAATTTATACAATTTGATGACTTAACATTATTTATTGTATGATTTTTTTTTTCAGATGAAGTGTTTAAGTATCATAATGGTTAGCCTGTTGTTGGTTGCCATCGCAATGGTCAGCTCAGACGAAACCGGACTGAACGAACAATCATTGAACCGTTTGACCAGAGCTGCCAATGGCGGAAAAGGTGAATATTCTTTTATTTAATTCCTGCTTATATTCTGTATTATCGTATTATCGTATCTTGATATATTTTATTATATTAAAATACAATATTAGTATAATTATATACAAAACCAAGATAAAAATAGTTTTGTAATTTTAAAACGTTATTTTAATGAACAGATACCAACTGTCACTACGAAAAGTCTCAGTGGTCCCCGTGTGATGAAAAGACCAATGTGAAGGCACGCACGTTGACACTGAAGAAAGGCGATGAAACGTGCGAAAAGACCAAGAAGATCGAAAAGAAGTGCAAGAAAGGTAAAATCTACAACCGAGATTTATATTTACACTATAACAGCATCTAACTAAAATGTGGCATGCGATTACTGACATTTTATTTTTATGGCAGGTCAAATATACTTACTCGCTATATTATAATATATACATATTATATATTGTAAACACACGTACAAACAAGCAATACAAATCATTTGATCTTATTAAAAACCCATTATGAAATGACCAACGAGGCGATAAACGAATCTCTTCCTGTTTAAAAACGGCCTCGGTCACTTACATTTACTAGACAAGTTACTTGGTACTTTATAAATCGTATAGTTTTTTGGTGTAACATTTTTGTTTTTAAAAGTCATGTCGCAATGATAACAAATGGCAATCATAAACATAGTATTTTTGGCACTGTTCCATCTTTTTTACAGCCTTTTAACCGTTTGGAAATACTAAAAAAAAGATGTTATGGTATACACCCGTATCTGTATCAGACCTCATTTTAACGTATAGTAAAGTCTTTTATTTTGAACAATAGCTAAAAAATAACAAAAAAGCAATAATTGCAATTATAACCATAATATACTATTTTTAATCTTAAGATTCTCATAACCACATTTTATAATGACATAAAACATCAGAACAAAAGATTTTTTTTAAATTATTTTCTCACTCTCATCAATCATCCATATCTCACTTTGAATAACGAGGAAAAATCTTTAGAATAAAGCCTACCAATTTATTTATCGATTCTTATTTGATATATCCATCTAACTCCCCTTCTAAGCCTAACTGGTCACGTCCATTAAATTATATAAGCATCAACATACATACATATATAATATATATATACATAGCTAAAGCTTTTGAACAACATTTAAATGCATGTATATATGGTTGTACGTTTTGGGTCGTGTGTTGTTTTAGCATGCCGGTATGTGAAGGGCACGTGGAGTCAATGTAACACGCATAACGAGATGATCAGGACGGACACGCTCAAGGATCCGTCTACTGAGAACTCAAACTGCGAGAAGACCAGACAGATTACGAAAAAGTGCAAGAGCAAGGGACGGGGTAATAAAGGTAACAATATATGTACAAACGGGTCAATATTAACTAAGTCTCAACCTTAAAATCATTTAATAATATTTATAATTATTATATACGTAAAGTCATGTGTAATTAGTTTGAACAAGATAATATTTATATTTTTAAACAATCGATTCACTTGGAAGCTAAAGGAAAAAAATACTATATTTTTAAATCTGAAAAGAAAAGAGTTCGTTTGGAAAAATTCTTATTTTTATTAATTTATTCGTTTTGCAAATTTCTTTGTGGTTTAAAATCTCTTTAAAATCATATAACGAGAATTAAAAAAAATACAATTTCTGTATACTGTGAACTCAACTGAAATTTTAGATGTTGAGTGAAGCAATAAATGTATTGATCTACTTTTTATAATAATGTGTTTCTTTTTTAAAATTTTATTTATTTTTATTATTCTTTTAGTGTCTAAAGACACTTTTTCAATAAAAAAAATTGCATTTTCAAATTTAGAAATGGTTCCTAGTAAAAATTAAATTAATTAATTAGTAAAAAAAAAAAATAAAACTTTCTTCTCAATATGTTTCAAAATAATTTAAAATAGTTATTTTAAAAAATAAAATTTTCTTTACATGTTATAGTTTTAAAAATATTTTACTATTTTAGAGCTGCTTATAGACACTTGAAAATTGAAATGTTCTACTTTTTTAATTTCTTTTTCAACTTATTTAAATATATAACTTGTCTTTGTTTGTAAGAGTAAAACAGTTTGAAAATTAATCACAAAGTTCCTCATTGATTGTTCTTACTAGGTAGTAAATTTTCACGAGAAAACACTTAATTTTATATGATAGATATTGACAAAAATGTCAAAGTTCAATACTGATGGTTAATAATATCATATTATACGAGAACACCGCTAGGGGCTAACCGCTTATATATAATAATGATAACCCGAGGACTCGCAAATTGTTCGTTTTGGATTGTTTTGCAACGCTGCGCTTTGTTTTATGTAAATTGTTGTTAGATGTTTGCGCATTTAACATCAAATCCCTCTTTTGTCATAGTACTACAAATATACACCCATAAGTTATAACACTAACATATATAATATCTGTGTAAATAATTACAAAGGATAATATTATCATTCACAGTTACGTCGTAACTACTCTATTTAGATACATAAATTATATAACAAATTCACTAACTCGCATATACCTGTTTTATAGTTAATAAACATATGCTGATTAACTTTTCCGAAACAACTAACCGTACAAACAATATAATATAAGACGCACTAAAACACATGAAACTACAATGCTGCATTTAGTTTCGGAACTGATAGATTCCAGGAATTTTAATAAGAACGATTGACTATTATATTATTCACAGACAATTTGTACAATAAGACAGTCTTATTGTTTTTATACAAATATAATTTTTGTGATCAAGATGCATTATTGAATTGTTCCGTATTTATAAAATAAATCAGTTAAATAAAAAAAGAAATTGTCACAATGTTAAAAAATAAAAACATAGGTAATATAGAAAAAATTGCAACAACATATTTTTTATATTTCTAATCTATAAACTGAAAAAAAACATTTCAACAAATAAACAAAAAAAAAAAAAATGAAAACTTTAGACAACTATAAATAAATAACGTACAAAAGATCAATAGCATAAAAAAAAATCCTTGATACGATTGTTGTATTTTCTAACGAAGCGCATAAAAACGATCGATACATGTTGTAATTTATTTATATAAACGACTACCCAAATTATTATATTTACTCAATGTTATTTAAAATTTATCAAATAAATGTTTTTAAAATCCTTTCAAAAATAAACTTGTATTAAGAGTTATATTTTTTTTTTTAAAGGCTGTACTTTAGAGACATTCCAAACTTTTGTCGTCAAATAAAAATATCAATGTAGAAGATGACACAATCTTTTGTTTACTGTGCGAGTTTACATTTGGCCATATTGTTAAACGAAGTAGGTCGATTCTTCATATTCACCCGTGTTGATGTTTTTATTTATTTGCATTTATGATCTATTTTCATTATTCAATATAATATGTATATATGTGTTTTAAAAATATCAGTCGATAAATCAACTAAATTTACCGATACAGAAAAGTCGATTTAATATTGATCATCGATTTACCGAAAAAAATTGATAATTATTTATTAATACAAAGACAACTGTTTTATTCAAACGAGACTCGGAAATCAATGATAAATCTTTTTTTGATCTGTAAGCTACAATTAAAGTCGTCAAAACGAACCAACTTTATGCATTAGTCAGTATTAGTTGTTAATAAAAATTTATTAATAGTTATACTATGTATATATGTATTTAGAACATTCAACTACACTTTTATTTCGAGCCGACCCAAATACTGTGTAAATAATATAATTATTCGTAATATAGATAATAATATTATAATATGATATGCGAGAATATAGATTCACTCACCGCCCAATCATTATTGTATTGAATATTCGCTTAACTGCAGTATCGCATTTCGATTAACTGCAGACTTAAATAAATTAGCGATTAAATCGAACTCAATCCCGTGATGATATTCTGGTACAAAATAAATTAAGTTTCATTTATTCCGTGATTCCGGTATGTATACTTGGTAATAGATGATCACTGCAGTGGAGTGCGGAAGTTCATTCGTTTCCGTAATCACAAAATATTTCCGTCTGCAACATATATAAATTATGCGTATATATATAACATCCAATAAGTACTTCAGCGTACCCAAGAAATCGATCGATAAAAATAATTGTTTTAAAATGTTATGTGCCTCTATATTATGTATTACAATAATAGGTATATTGTATATACTAAATATCACGTGGTTTTATTCATTATTCATAGTTTTTTGAGTTTAACTATGTCCTATAGTTACCTACAATCAGTATTATCTAAAACAGATTAGTTATTGAACAAATTAGAACTATTATTTATTAACCCTAAGGATAATTTCTAACTACAAACATATTAATAACGGAGAAACTATACTGATTCAAACTATGAATTAAGTACTTAAGTACATCAACTTATCAACATTTTCAAAACAATGAAACAAACAATTAAATAATTTACAGTAAAAAGTGATTTCTTTTTTGAAAAAATTTCGTATCGCCGCAAGAAAATTCTTAAGTAGTACAAAAATATCAATGATTTGAAAATATGATCTTTAAGTATAATTAGGATTCCAAAAATAAAATTTTGAGTAATTGCATTTAAAATTAACCGAATAAATTTAAATTAATACAATATAACGATTCTTTTATTTGTGTTAAGCTCGACTTCGCTAGGGAAAAAATTTTACCATTTTTTATATTCAATTAAAGTTTTATTTTCCTGGATAGAAACGCCCATTGATGTATTCGTATTTTATTGCTCAATATTATATCGATAGGAGTAAGATCCATAAAACTATGTACTACATAGTATTTGTTATTCTGTAGTCTTCCATTTAAAAAACCTACATGACGATTGGATGAGTAGTTCCCAAGATCATTGGTATCTAAGATTCAAAGATGTGTTACTTAAGACATATCCATGTCAAAAGTTCTTAGAATCCAATTGCAACACTACCTACTTAGTCCAATTGTAAACCTAAATCATCCATAAACTCACTCAAACACACAAAAATTTTCATCAAAATTAGACCAGTCGTTTAAGAGTTCAATGATATATAGAAGAATTACATGTATAAAGATTTATATAAATATTTCACCCGGGTAAATATTTCTGCAGATGTTTCTGTTAGTTCTTTCTGTTACACTGTACCTATTTATCATAATCGATCGTATGTCCGGCCGTGCCGTCCAGGGTAATTGTATAATTGTGATAAACAAGTGGTGAAGCTACGAATAAGTTTATGGAAGTACAATAGCTGTTTATATAAAGGTGAAACTTGTTAATATTTTGCATATTATTTTAATGTGATAGCGACATATATTGTATATATAGCTTGGCTTATTTATTATTGTGCAGATCGACTAAAAATTTCGGTTCGGAAATTTATTGTGTAATCGGGGAGGTTGTCGCTCGAGCACACGTAGCCATTGCCAAACCATAAAACGTAATATATACAATTTTTCACGTATATCATTATATGACATGTATGTATTTCAACCCAAAAATACATATTTCGTATGGAATACTATAATTATCCTACCGGGAATTCGGTTTCCATCGATATTTCTCTGCTACAAAATATCACCCTTAACGTGTATATGTATCGTAGAAAAATAACGACGACCACAACTCATAAACGACAAGTTTATTACACCAAAGGGTGACATTTATTAATTTAATCTTGTTTTTTGTTTGAATATTTAATTTACTGTTAATTTTATGAAAATAATAAATATTATAAACAATTTGCATTCATGTGGCAAACACATACTCGTATTTGTTATTTGAATAACATTGCAGGTTCAGTTATTACTTTATTATAAATAATCTATATTCTATGAGGTCTACTCATTAAGAAACACCAAAATAACCTATAAATATGTAAATAACGTCGCTGTTTGTTTAGGTATGCTAATATATTAATCATTTACCGTGAAAATTGTATAATATATTATGAGCGCGATTCGGAACTATAATATTATATCAGTGAAGACAGGTCGTTGGACGAAAGCCGAAATTTGTCACAACTTACTAACACGCACTGAAGGTACTGCAGTGACAATAAAATATTATTATATTATAGTGTGAGACTGTGCGATTATATATATATATATAATATCGAACCGTTTAACCATGAAACACTCCCGCACGCGTGATAGAGAGCACATGTGTCGCTTATTTTTAGCGGTAACACGATCTTCAGTCGTATAATCCTTTATAAATTAACGACACGACTGTTTCCTGCTCCTAGGTGTCTGCTCATACTTATAAATTAAAATATACATACATCATACACTATTTTAAACAAAGTCGTCGTTTGGATAAGAATTTCCGTTGATGTTAAGTGCCTATATCCTGTATAGGGTGTATCCGGAGTACTCGAAAACTATTTAAATAACAGTTTAAACTTTATTCGATAGATATTATGTACGAGTTTAAAAAATATAGTTTAATACCGATAATATTTTGTTGTGATTGTCAGACATCTTAAATATACGCGCTAGTTACTCACTTAAGTATAGTGACGTACGCCAGGGTAAATTTCTTTCTTTTAAAAAAAAATCTTATTTAACATTTGGAAAAACTATAATCTGTTAAATTGTATGACCTATCAATATTAATTACTTTACTGTTTAGATTTGCAAATATCATTTATTGATAATCTAATAATATTTAAATTATTACTTTTAAAATATTATTTTCCAGATTAAATACTAGATATTAGAGTTGAGATAAATAAAAAAATAATTGTTTGGAATGATTTACCAATTTTAATGTTAAAAGTGCTATTTATTGATTTACTTTGTAGGAGAAGGTGTGAGGATGAAACCCTTCGTGGGTCTTGGCGTCTTGCTATAGTATAAAGTCTATAAAATTAAATAAAAATTTCTGTGTATTACCTAAACCGTATAAGGTAGTATTAAACATATAAATCATATATATGGGACAAGAGATAACACCATGACAGGATGTGGAGAGGATAAACATTTAAAAAAAAAAATATTTACCTTTAAAATATCTGAAATTACTATACAATTATTCTTATACACAATAATTGCTATGTATATTATTATAAAATTGAAAAAAAATTGAATTTATCGGATTTATATTTGTGTTAACCGACGATATGAATCAATTATTAAATAAACTAATCTCACAAAACACATACAAAGAGTCTTGGAAATTCCAATTCCAGGATTTTTAAATTATGCAAGATAGGATTTATAGGATTATTATAATATATATGCGATATATAGGATTCCGAGGCCTAACGATAAATAATATATAATAATAATATATACAGCAATAAAATTACCATGAGCTTTTAAACATGAAATATCAAAACAAAAAATATAATATAAAAAAAGATTTTTATTTGCAATTTTTATTACCCGTATACGTTATGTGGAAGTTGGTACAGATTTATCGTTTGAAAATAACTGAACTTAAGTCTAATTATAAAATATAATTATAATTCTGCAGGCTGCAATTGCTCTTTGAATTCGTGTAAAATGGCCAATATAATAATTTTATTACATATCACATATAAATTTATTATTATATATATATATAAATGTTTGTTAATTGTTAAACCACTTATAACTTATATTATAGTTAAGTACATAGAGGCACATGGAAAGTAAATCACAATGTTTGTGGTTTATGAAAAACACTTTTGTTTTTGAATATTAAGCAAAACTATATGTAATCAGTGGTGTAGCCAGGGTTTTCGAAAATAAAAACCTTTTAAATATTAAATTTGTATTGTTTTCACTAGTGATAATGCTTATACTAATTATACATAACCAGATATATACCTGATATTAAACATATCCTACTGAAATAGATAAAATTCTTCACAGCTTTTTATTTATGTTAAATTATTACAAACAATTTGCATCTTAATGAAGTACTTATAATATATTATTATTTAAATTATTCTATAATTATTTTTTTTATTTTCATAAAAGTTCAATTTAAATTTCATTCTTCTGGGAGATTTTCATAAAAACGGTAAATACTTTTTTTTCTATAGCATTGTCAATACTCGGCAAAAATACGATTTTCCCTTTAGGTTAGGTTAAGTGGAGAGGACTGTTTTTATTACGCCTCTGATATGCGTATATATAAAGATAATTAGAATTATATTGATCGACGTAATTGGACATCCCCGAAATCGAAACACCGAAATAACAACTCCTCCCCCCTTGTACAATTAAGATTTATCAATACCAAATCCTAAATTCCATTAATTTGTGTACGAAATTTAACTCGATGTGTTTTAATGTGTTACAGGTAACAAGCAAACACGCAACAGGCAATAAGCACGAAAAATCACCATGAACACACACAAACAAGCGCGTAAACGTGTATAACAGAACAAAAAAAATAAAAAAAAAATACAAATAAATTTCCGTCTCGTTATCTCCTCTTCTTCCTCATCCGCCGTGTGTGTAATCAATCAAACTTCAAGTTTAACATTTACTCCATTCCCCTTGTCACATTCAAATTCAAAATTTCGCTTTAATCATATATAATATATACATAAAAATAATTAAGATTAAATATAATTATAATATTATTTACATATATTAATATATATATATACATCAACAAATTATATTGTGATTATATTATATATTGAAATGATAATATTAATATCTCTGTACCTATATTATAATATATTATGAATGATGAACAGAGTGTTTTCGTATCGTAGGGTTAATTTTTTAGATTGTAAACATAAAAACTTACATTATAAACTTCAAGAACAAATTTATGATCAAATCAATATATATTATATTATATTCTCACAATTATTATTACTATTATTATTTTTTATTATTTTTACTACTCATATATACTATAATAGCAGTTTCGAACAATTTTTAATACATAGATGTATAATAATAATAACGTTATTATTTATTTTCGGTGTTCATCTAGAGTCATGAAATATTAAATTATATTATATAAAAAAAATCATGATAAAATGCGCTTCATTCCAAAAGTTCAAACGATAAGAACATTATTTTAGAGCGGTATTCTGTTGCTGCATCTTGATTATCATTATCATTATTATTATTTTTATTATTATCATTATACTATTATTATCATTATTATATTATTATTTTTTTTTTTTTTTTTTTTTTTATTATTAATATATATTATAATATATTATATTATATAGATAATGTATGAATAGTTTATATAAGTTGTTTTTATAGGCTTGATTTGTCTAGAGTAGGGAATGTATTAAATACTCCTGACTTTGATTCTTCTAATTTTAGCAGCGCATAATTTTGTAAAACCAATAAAAAATTTTCAAAAAAACAAAAACAATTTTTCTTTTTTATAAACAGTCACACAATTTTTTCCTAATATTATAGCACATTACAGTAATAATATAACTTATTTTATATTACCAAACACAACTGCAACTGGAAGGCATAAAAAATATCAGTCAGCAGATGTACTTAACACGTGAGACATCTTTCCATCGTATACTATTAATAATATAATATCAAGTTATTTTTATACAATTGGCATCGTAATGAACCGACTAAAATACCAAGTATAATCTGCAGTTAATTATTTTTATTTTTATACTTTTTCCAGTCATGAAAAAAATTTTAAAAAAATTATACATTTACATACTTGTATGATATATAATTGTTAATTGTATTACCATATGTTATTGTAAGTATTAAAACGTTTAACAATTGATTGTGAGAAACTCGGAAACGTGTTGATGAGACGTCTGAAATCAAATGGATAATAATTTATGGACTATAGCTAATAGCTAATACACATAATCGATCCAAACGTTCAATTTTTTCAATTTACCCTGACCTAGCTACTTTTAATTGATGTGAAAAATCTTGTCGGGTGACCAATATTTTTGAACACGACTAAATTATATGGCAGTTAATACAGAACAACAAGTTTGACAAACGTTTCTAAATAAATAATAATTAAGACCCGCAATCTAAAATTTAATGACATGTTTTTAAAATCGATCGATAGACTGGACTAACCAAAAAAGTGCATAAATAGGTAACTACTATTGCTGTACTGTACGTTTTGAGTGTACTAGATACTTACATTAAATATACATTGCTGTAATGAATATTATATTAAATTTTAATTCAATAATTATTAATCTTATTGTAGACAAGAAATTATTTCGAATAAAGACAGTCTTTCAGCCTATGTTACTAGGAATATTTTATGAGATATTTATATAACTATTACAGTAATCAATAATAAATAATTTATAAATAAAAATACGGTAAATTGAATTTTTGCATTATTAAATATTAATTATTACAATAATAATATAAATTATATAGTTATATAAATGTTACATATATCTAATAGCCAGTATAAACTAAGATAATATATAAAATAAAAAAGTTATTTACTATTTTAATTTTAAGCTTGTCAGTAATCAATGTATTCATTTTCTGATAGGGGTGCAACACGATTGCATACGAATGTCGCTTATCGAAAAATTTGTTTTTTTAGCCGAAAAAAGAACGATTGCGAACGTTTTTATAGGCTACGTTGCCAATTTTATAATTTCTGAGTATGTTTAATTTTGTTGGGGAATTTAATTCAATTTTTTTTTTTTTTTTTAATGAAAACTATTCGATATTAATAATAAAATGTTACATTATAGCAACGTTACAAACTTTTTTTTTTTAGAAGGAATATACAATCTATATCATATCATGGATATAATAAGTATATGTGTTAAGAGAGAAAAAAAACATAGAACGTGAGATAGATAATTTGAGGAAAGGAGCCACCCAGAAATGACACTTTCAATTTGGTTTATTTCTCATTTATTATATTTTTTTTTTATTATTATTATTATTATTATTATTAATGCAATAGATCTCTGCACCATTTACGTTTAAAACGCCTTTGAGGGTTACTTGGAATTGTGAGGGATGATAAGTTCTTGATGAGAAGATTTGAATGAGTAGATAAACAGTGATGGAATTTTCTATAGAAACATTTGGCTTCGTCATGAATATTTTTTAAGTTACAATCTATATGTAGAGCAGGGGTGTCCAACCTTTTATGAAGTCTGGGCCACGTGATATGGGTAGAAGTTGTTGCGGGCCACATAGTTTTTAATAATAATAGTTAATACATACAGCGTTTTATTTTTATTTGTTGATAAATGACACGAGATCAATGCTGTGGACATATCTCCAATAATAAAATATTTAATCAAAATCGGTTCGAGTTGATCCACTAATCACTCGTACCTATAATTAATTTGTGCCCGTGCTATTATGCTAAGATAAAAGTATTAAACACGATTAAGTTTGTTTGATGTTTAATATTATGTAGTTTTATATTCTTATGAATTGTTATGATAAATTTGTTCTCATCGATCTAGGACAAATGAACGCGACCGTTTGGATACGAAGTCAATTAGACGCGGCCGTTTGGGCGCGAGTACATTTGGGCGCTAAGACAAAATTATAATAATTATTGAATAACAATAAAATATAAATATACAATATATATATAAAAAAAATTAATTTTTACATATATCTATGACAATAAAATATAAGTATACAACATAATATAATATATAGTAGAAAAATCATCAAAACAAAAATTCAAAATATTGCTAAAAAGATATAATAATTAAAAATGTTATAGTTATTGTACTATTTTATATTATTATCATTATTGAAATATTTTGAGCTATCCCTCTTAAAAATGTCAAAATTCCACTTTGTTTAAAATTTTTAACTATTTTTAAAATTATTTTATCAATATCAATATATTTTTTTTTATTTTTTAGGAGGACTATTTCCTGCTTCTAATTGATTATAATAAGAGTCTCTACCTGTTTGTACTTTTTAAAGACACGTTATAAAAGACCATAAACTTGGATTATTATCGATTTCGATAACGTATATTTATAAAAGTAACAGAATTGAATTAATACAATACTAGTCTAAACGACTTCGTGCCTAAACAATAACGCCGATTTCGATAACGTCGGATAATCCCTAATATCGTGATAAAACTTTAATGTTAATTATAATTTTGTCTTCGCGCCCAAATGGATACGTCTAAATGACTTCGCGTCCAAACGGCCGCATCCATTTGTCCCTGTTCGCTGATGTAGAGTACCTATAGTTTGAGATATATGTAGGGGCATTTACTATTTTTCTTAATGTCATATTTTGAAAAGCTTGTATCTTATTTAGATTGGGCTTTTTAGCGTTTCCCCATAGCTGGAGTCCGTATGTCCAGATGGGTTTTAATAAGGATTTATACATGAGGAGTTTAATATTGATAGGGGTGACCTTGTTACCAATTAAATGTTTCAGCATACGTAGCCTATTGTTTAGGAATAGTCTTTTTTCACGTATTTGTTGAGCCCAAGTTAAATGTTTGTCAAGCATTAGACCAAGGTATTTTACTGTGGGTAATGAATGGATAGGGATGCCGTAAAGTAGTACATTTGGATAAGGAGCATGCCTAAGTGTGAAAGTGTGAAAGTAGTGTAAACTGATTTACTTTGGTTTACTTTAAATTTAAATTTAGTGTACCAGTTTTCCATCAGCCCGAAGTGAGTTTACAAATCTAAAGAGGCCAAGAGAGGGTCTTCATTAATCGAGATAATGGCTTTATCGTCAGCATAGTCTGAAACTGAGGTGTTTGGTGATGTGGGTTGATCAGAGACGAAGATATTTAAGAGTATTGGAGATAAAATACCACCTTGAGGAACTCCAACGTTTATAGTTGCTACTTCGGACATGGCAATTCCAAAGCATATTTTAAATGAGCGATCTGTGAGATAATATTTGATAAGTAAGAAATAGGATGAAGGAAGGAAAGATTACAGTTTATATAAAAGACCTTGGTGCCAAACACGGTCAAACACCTGAGAAATATCTAGAAAAGCGCAAGTGCAGTATAATTTTTTTCAAGAGAGTAGGAAATTGCACCTACTAACCGGTGAACTTGATGTGTAGTTGAATGCGAGATACAAAAGCTAAATTGGTAATCAGGAAGGATTTGTTTTTTAGCAATGAATGGTACAATACGTTTGAGGAGTAGTCTTTCTAGGATTTTTGCAAAGAATGGAAGTAGACTTATTGATCTGTAGGATGAGGTAGAGTCAGGCGGTTTTTAAAATGTTTTTCTAGGGGTTAGGATTATGTAAATTGTTTTGATAGCGTAATAACAGAAAATCCTTATACCTACTGTTTAATTATTTTAAAAATAATTATTTAAAAATGTATAATTGACTAACACCTAATCTGGCAACATCACACGATTAAAGGTAAATTAAAACTTCGCAATCGTGTTACGGGAAAAGGTCCGTTCGCAATCGTATATCCTGATAGGTATACTTCTGATAGGTATCTCCATTTATCACTGATATGTATTGAATACAAAAAAATAATTTTATGTCAATA